TTAGACCCAATTATTTTGTTTACCACAATGAACATTTTTTATTATTATGTTTTTTCACAAAAATACAAACAAACTGAAGAAAATGGAAGAACACTGATGTTAAATGAATATGCATCCTGATTTTTTGTGTGAAATCTATGCCTTTTAGTCTCCAAACTACGTGTTGTGGTCTTTCTTTTATTATTATGACATTTTGTGATGTTATGTGGTGGAGAAAAATGGATATCATTTTTGCATTCAGCGTACAGGAATTGCTGTAGAACATATAAAACTTGCAAGGCAATAAAACCATCGCAGGCCTGTGTAATTTTTCATACGTTTATGACGTGTCATTTCGGAGTGAATCGCTGCTTGATAGTCTCAAGTACTATTTTGTTTCAGTTATGAAATCTGTAATATAAATTTTTAATTATACTGGCAGCATGATTTTAAAATATCTTCGTCAGTGATATTAATTTGTTTTTGGAAATGATTAATACAAACTTTTGAAATATATGATATTTCCACACTAATATATCATATATAGCGAGTAAGATATCATAGCACCTTGAAATATATGATATTTCCACACTAATACATTGTAGAGTCAAGTAAAATATCTCAATAATGCAGCATGATATTTCCACACTAATACATCAGATAGTTAAGTAAGATATCTCCGTACCCTAGAAAACAACACTGGTGGCAGAAAGCAACTACCACTTACGATAAACAAAAATAAGGTGCTTCTTTGTTAGCTCTCTTGTAACCTTACTATTGCTTTGTATTAGTATTCTTCTAATAACATATCTTTTTTCAGTGATGTTTGCTACAAATGTGCTTAACTTAATGTGTAGTGTAAAAGGTACTAATTACTTTCATAATGAACAAGCCTAGAATAATTGCTACATTCAGTTCCTAAAAAGATTCAATATATTAAGCTATAAATAAAGTTAATACAACTTTTTCATTTTAAATGTCCAGACTTACCATAAGCATTAGAAAACACATTTTATGACAGCAAAAAATTTAACAGACCAAAAGTAAGACAGAAATGTGTATTTTCTTTTGTAAAATGTAGAATTACGATTTTTTTTTTGATTATTTCTGTTTGAAATAAAAGAACAATTTTATGTCAGTAAAACCAGTTTTTGCAGATATTTTTCAGTTTTGTTGAGCATGTTGTAATTTGCCTTTTAAAAGCTATATTTGTGCTCTAATCAGACCAATACCTGTTTAATTGCTCATTGTTTGCTTTGTTAAACAGATCGATGATTACAGTCTTGTTCGATTCTTGCCACTGAACATTCGAGATGAAGAAAGTATTGGAGATTTACTCTTAATGATTGATAATGCAATACAATATGGTGAAGACTTGGATGTGAAAACCAGAGTAAGTGATATTATTTCTAAATTATTGCTTATATATTAATTATTTCCCACCCTATAAAATGTAGTTACTTATAATTGTGTTAATTTTTTTTCTCTCATTTATGAGATGCCCCCCAGTGGCACAGCAGTATATCTGCAGACTTACAATGCTAGAATCCGGGTTTCGATACCCGGGGTGGGCAGAGCACAGATAGCCCATTGTGTAGCTTTGTGCTTAATTACAAACATTTATGAGACAAACGTTATATAGGGAAGTACTTGATAGTGAATTGACGAACCCATTTTTCAAGGAATTAAATCTCGGTTGTAAATATAAGTTACTATTCAGGTTGCTCAAAACATTCTTCATGATAAACATAAATCGTACTTTTGTAGAAGATTAACTATTGTTTAGGGATATTTCCCTGACTCTTCTGAATTTCATACATTTGTAAGTATGAATACATCTTAAATTTTAATTTAATTTTTTTTTATAGTTGAGGAAGGGGTTTTTATTTTTTTAAATCAAGTTTTATTTTCAACTGTATACACAATAGAATTGCTAAAGAGCAAAAGATCTATATTATAGAGAATTGTTAATGTTGTATTTTGTTGATTTAGTTGGTACATACATCACCAGTTCCCCTGGCATTTGCCATTGTGAAGCTCCTTTTTCAGCATTTAATTTTCCTTGGCTTATGCTAATATTTGTTTTTGTTTTTATCTGTAGAAAAACATTAAACCTGACTGGTTAAGATCATGTGCTGTTTAAATCAAACAAAACTGATCATTATATATATATATATATACCAACAATAATAGAATTTGATTTGTCTGCCTGTATGTTTAAAGAGCAACGAAACGTTTTTTTACTTAAAGTTGTAATTGCAAGCCAGTTTTCCACTTTCCTTAGTTGTTTGAAGTGTAACTCTGTTTACCTGGTCTAACTATGCATTACCATACTGCTTACATTGAAAATCTATGTGCGTGAAAATCAAAATGGAACAGAAAATAGATGTTTCATAACCATACTTTAAAATTTTATAAACCATGGGTTTGATTTGCTTTTAACAGTCAAAATGTCTAAGTTCATTGACTAATATCACTCAAGGGTAACCAAAAGTTGGTCCTAGTGACAATCCAGTAGTTATAGTTGGTGTTATTAGTTGTGTAACTGTCATATATATCGTACCTTATTTGAGAAAGTAGTTAAGGCCAATATGGATTAGTACGAAATGTACATGTTTGCAAGAACACAGTTTGTCTTGTAGTTTTTCCTGTATTATACATGGAAGCTCTACCAGTAAGGTGTTTGTTGCTTGAAACAACCTACCTAGATAGTAGAACTGTCAGAACATGTATGTTACTTACATAGTAACCTGAGTGATATAATTCATGCTTCTATGCAGATGAATTAGGATGACTACATTTAAACTAAAGGTTTTTATAAACATTCAAACTATTCAACATAGTCAGTTAGTCATAACTAGTGTTAGTAACACAGTCAGTCATGATTGTGGTAAGAAACACAGTCGGTCATGATTGTGGTAAGGAACCCAGTTGGCCATGACTGTGGTAAGGAACACAGTTGGTCATGATTGTGGTAGGGAACACAGTTGGTCATGATTGTGGTAAGGAACACAGTCGGTTATGATTGTGGTAGGGAACACAGTCGGTCATGACTGTGGTAAGAAACACAGTTGGTCATGATTGTGGTAGGGAACACAGTTGGTCATGATTGTGGTAGGGAACACAGTTGGTCATGATTGTGGTAAGGAACCCAGTTGGCCATGACTGTGGTAAGGAACACAGTTGGTCATGATTGTGGTAGTAAAGTCTCACATAATAAATTAAGATTTATAGTACATATATTTACATGGTTACAAAGCAGTTCCAAGTTGACAAACTTCATATGGAAAGTTTAAAGTATCATAGTATTCCTTACCACAATCATGACCAATTGTGTTCCTTACCATAATCATGACCCGACTGTGTTCCTTACCACAGTCATGGCCGACTGTGTCCTTACCACAGTCATGGCCGACTGGGTTCCTTACCACAGTCATGGCCCGACTGTGTCCTTACCACAGTCATGACCGACTGTGTTCTCTACCACAATCATGACCAACTGTGTTCCCTACCACAATCATGACCAACTGTGTTCCTTACCACAGTCATGGCCGACTGGGTTCCTTACCACTTTCACAATTTCCACTGTTAACTTTTTCACATTTTATTGTTTTATTTTAGAACATGTAAAACCATCATTCACTAGAATAGAATGTTCCAAAACTTCTATAATTTATCTGACTTTCTAACTAAGCCATAAATAGGTTTAAAAAAATTCTTTACTACTTGCAGAAACAAGTTTGCCCAACACAAATCAAGCTTTTCTCAAATACTTCTGTCCCACATAAACTAAATAATAGGCATTGATATTTATGTAGAGAAGAAACTACTTTTTCTCTTGGTTCTGAATATGTTCAGCAGCAGTGTAAGGAGATAAGTATGTCCTTGTCTTCAAAGTGGGAGCTACGTTGAGATAGAATGTGGAGCATCATGGTCTTTTTAATGTTAATAGATGATCAGCTCTATGGGTTTAGCCATCACTATGTTGGAACTATCTTCATCAAAGTTCTGAAGAAGACACATCCCTCTTGTTTTCGTTTTTAACTTTTTTTTTTTTTATTAGTTGACAAGGGTGCATTGAATTTATGTACCTGTTGTATGATTTGTTCAATTGCATAGCGTAAAAATTACCAAATAAAATGGTTTGAAATTTGAGAATTACTTTCTATTGATTATCTGGGATCTGCAAATAAAATATTTGATTTTTACATTTTGAAAAAAATATCGTCATTAATCTTTTTTTTTAGGAAACGAAAAAAATTTTTCTTGTAGAATTTAATTACAAATTTATTTCGTCTTGTTTTAAAATTCTCCTATAAGTTTTTTATTTTATAAAACTGTAAATTTTACTTTTTTTTGTTCAAGAAACAACTCGGCCTTTTCACTATGTTCACAGATCACTGGTGTAAAATAACTATCTTACCATTTCCAAATTACAAGTAAAAAGATCTTTTTTAAAACTTTTAACCAGAAATGTTAATTTAATATAAGTTTTAAACCTGTTTTATATATATATATATATATATTTATTACATTTATTTTTGTGTGATTTTATTTGCCCATGCAAGCTGTTACTGAAGCCGATGTACCCTAATGCAAATAAGGCTTAACATAGTTGCTTTATTGGCAAAAATGAAACTTAATAAGTTGAATACAAAATGACTTAACTAAGCCAACATCATTTTTTGTATAAAATGTTTTTCATATTGTACATCAGCATCATAATTTAAATGAAGTAAAAATTATAAAGTGTTTTCTAATTTCATGTTGAGAACACAAAACCATAATGTATTTTGTGTATTAAAACTTAAACTGACATGTCATCTGTATCTGTCAGGATTGGTTTTGTATTCCCAAGATATTATTTGTATTACTAAGCCTACAAAAGTCATAAAGAATTTAGACATTATAGTTTCATTCTTAAATTTATCGGTTATAACTTTTTTTTTTTCAGGACATAGGAAATGAAGATCGTGATGAATAAGAAAATGATTCATGCTAATATTCACTATATAAATTATTTTGTGTACAATCATTTTACTTGAATAAACATTTTTATGGATATCTAATCAAACGTTTGTGCCTATTTGACATTTATACTTTACATATGATATTTCTTACTAGTATCACATTGTTCTGAACTTATTAATTACTTACTAATGGGCCATTAACAATATTATAGCACACATAGTTAAACTTTCAAGAAAACCCTGCTGATGGAGAGGGATACAGTTCCTTAGGTCAAATCACTGTTTTATCAGTAATCTCTACAAGCCAAATTCACTGTAAATCATAGAGGAACTGTAGCTCCTGGAATGACCTTAACATAATAATATTTACACAGAAATTCATCATCAGTTCAGAGGTGTATCTGTTTCTAGTTCTGTGACTTAAATCTATATCAGCTGTTGTCAGAGGTCAGGTTTATAGTAAGTATATGTCTGTTTTCATTATAGCCAATCCATGTATTTTAAACTAGCAAAATGTTCTTCAGCCAAGAAAAAAAGAATTTTTTCCCAGAACTAAAGCTGTATTTTCTAAAAGACAGGTTTATAAGGCATCATTGGTTAGGGTCTTTTATTATTTTTATCTCACCACCAGCTTATGTTAAAGCATACATACAATTCTTACCAATATTAACAGATCAATGTAATAGCTTGTTGTGGTCATGGTCTAAGATGACTGTGTCAAGGCACAGACAGGCTACACTCATCAGAGACAACAGATTATAATTAGCCATAATGGTGAGAGATGAATGATTAGTGTCACTTGTCCACACATTGACATGACCCCAGCAACATTCCCTGGATAATAATAGTTGTGGGACAGTTTAAAAGTTGACCTTTCTGCTGTTTGTACCTAAAGGCAACAAAGGAAAACTGGTAAGTCCAACATATTGGCAAAACCACTAAGATTTGTTGAAGTATTTTAGCCCCCACAAAAAAGTTTCATTCTGTCCAATTGCTGACATTTGATCTGAATCGTCTGTTGATCTACCAGCAAATCTGAAAGTATCCACAACTTCCTAAGATGAACAACGTTTTTAGATATTTGTTCAAGAAGTTGGTGTGACATTCATCCATCACTACTTGTTCACAAACATTTTTCCAATTACCAGTAATGATGCAGAAAAACACTTCCTCCAAAGCAGTTATCGTTTCACAGAGTTGTCTTTTCCGAAAGAATATGTAACAGCCTGAAGTGGTAACAACAATAACTTTTGGGACAATAAAACGTGCATGGTGGAAAATGCTCTTTGCGTGCCAATGAAACTACATTTTCCATCAATGAATTTTGTCATTTGACAGATAAGGCGATAAAGTCTACTGTTAATGGGCGTAAAACTGGATATTCTGGGCTATTAAAGATATCCGAAAAGTAGAAACAGGCACATCTGAAGACTTATAAGCCCTGTACATGAACATTGATATTCCACAGCCATCATTCCCACTGAGATTAAAAGAGCAATGCTTAAAGTAATAAGTTATAGTTAATATACATTGCAGGAAGGTATGAACTTCAATTAGATATAACCTCACATTAATTGATACTTGAAAAACGTGTTTGAATTATCATCCATCAAAACATTTGCACCTCCACGATGTCCAACAAGGAAAATATTAATAATGCCAATATGTTGAGGTCGTTTTTGTGAGTTTGTTTTTACTCTTTATTGTTGTCACGTTGCTTTATTACTATATTATGATAATTAATCTCTCTCATATCTTGCTAACACACTTGCTATTAATTCATCAACATTGAGGTTGATTAAGAGAAATTTCCACTGAAAAAGAAATATTTACTTTTAAATTCAAATTCATTGCTCGGGAGTGGTTATCATGCTTGGACTGTTAATCCAAAGGTATCAAGATTCGCGACCAGTTGTCGCAAAATCGCATTCAGCAGTTTAAGGCTGTATACACGCTGTAGAAGTGACAGTTAAATCCCACAAATCGATCACACAGAATGGTTGGTGGATTGTGTTGATCAACTGCCTTTACGTACTGTCTATCACTTCATAATTACGAACAGCTAATGCCCAGATAGCTTTTGTGTAGGCTTGAGCGAAATTCTGACACAAAACAAATAAGAACCAATTCGTTAAATTAAAAAAAAAACTCATTCTAATGAGATATTTATTACAAGTACGCGCTCTTGTATATTTATAGTTAGAAAAATGCGTGATTCTCACGCCGAACTAAACTTTTTGTTTTTCTTTTACTTTATAGGAGTCGTTAAAATCACGTAATGTGGAAACGTCACTTACAAGTTGCCGAACTTAAAACACGGGCGTCTTTTTTTAACGTAACGTAATCATTGTGATAGAATTTTATTTAAAGAATCGCGAAACGTACACTTTAGATAAAACCAAGATACGTACTCTATTGTATTAGCAATACAAAATGTCTTTTTTTTTTGGATAGATAAAATCCGCTTTAAAATATTCAAAAACCTTGGGACTTGATTATTAGATTTACTGTTGTAAGTGTTTATGTAACATCCTGTCATCATTACGTTATTTATGTGTGATTCAGCGTAACGTGCAGAGTTAACATGTGTGCATATATATATGCAGATTTTGTTGAATAAGACCGATGTTTGTAGGTTTACTTTCTTCTTGGAAATCTTCTGAAGAAAGTAAACCTACAGACATCGGTCTTATTCAACAAAATCTGCATATATATATGCA